TAGTTGGCCAAAGAACTAGTCTTATAAAATGTATCTTTCTAAATAAATCTATCTTTACTCAAAAACAAATTAACCGTCAAATTCTCTTTTCCCTTTCTTCCTTGGTGCACCTGTGTGTGTGTGTGCACACTCATGCATGCTTGTGCGTGGGGTGAGGAGCACCTGGCATCTTGGAAGGAGCTCAGGCCTGACCACCAGGGCACTGGTCCTGGAAAATCCTTCTGGAAAGATCTGTGTGACCCTCTGCAACTCTTTCCCCTCCCTGGAGCCCTGAGAAAAGAAGGAGGGGGCCACCCTCTGAGCTGTTAAGAATAGAGGGCCCTCCAGACTCCAGAATGAGTGGCTATAAATTGCTCAGCAACATATCTCTGCTCCAGGAGAATAAAAAGCCTAATTGTAAGTCAGCTGGGATTCAAACCAATATTTTTAAAACCAGAAATTTAAAAATGGGACAACAATGATCTTGGATGAGTCTCTGAATCCGGGGATTCAATCCCCCATGACACATAATTTCAATATAACAAGCCGTTGGGCAGAAATCAGTGCGTGTGTATTGTCTGCACAGGACACGCCCACACCTGTGCACACACGGTCTTGTATGCGCCCCCGTGAGGTAGACCCTCCAGGAGGCCCTGGGGGACCCTTGGGGTGAGCGGACACGCAGTGAGGTGGGTGAGGGCTCAGGAGGCGTGGGCCTTGCGGTCTCACGCCATGCTGGGGGGCATATGAGGCCACCTCCATTTCACACATAAGGAGATGGAGGCTTTAAGATCTATTTGCAAGTTCACTCAGTTACTACAAGGTCCAGTTAAAAATTTTCTGTCTCTCTCCGTTTCTGTCTCTGTCTCCATGTATGTGTTAAGATTTTTGTAAATTTCTTCCTCTCTCTCTCTCTCTCTCTTTGTTCTTTCCCTTCCAAACTGCACTGTCATCGTTTCTGGCCTGGTCCCCAAGAGCGTGTGACCTGGTGCACACCGGCATCTGCCCACGGCCAGGGCCACGCTCTCGGGGGCGGCCTGCCAGCCCCTGGGCTCCTGGGATGAGGGCGGACTCTTCTTGTTGATGCAGGCCTGTGGGTGGACCCTCCTGGCTGGCCAGCTGGCCCCTCAGGCTCGCCCTTCTCTCAGGGCCTCTGGGCCTATATTTAGCCGCAACGCTGGGCCCAGCGGGATCAGGTTCTGTTGTGCCACACGTCCCGGGAGAGGGACGGTGGGGGCCTGAAGATAATCTCCGGGCTGCGGTGCCCAGTGGCCTGGTTTCTGACCCAGGTAGTCTGGGGCCTGTCGTGTTGACGGCTGCTGCGTCCCCTGGGGGATGTGGATCCCAGGAGGATGAAAACGGGCTGTCTCTGACGCCTGCTGCCCGGGCATCTCGGCAGGACCTCCAAGGCCTCCGCGCTCAGGCCCCAGGCCTTCTGCAGCCCCCGTGCTCTCCGGGCCCCCGGTCTTGCTGCACCTGCCTGCACGCCGCTGCCTTGGCCGCTCTTGGACCTGGGCTGCCTCTGCCCCCGCCCTCCGGGCAGGTTCTGCGGGGCGGCCAGGTGGGGTTAGCATAGGCACCGCATGGGTGGCCGCTGCGGTCTTGTCTCCCCTCCTGGCAGCTGCTGGGTGTTGACTCAGCCCTTCTCTTGGTCGCAAGTTCTCACCTGTAAGTCGAGAGCCATGACTAGCCCTTTCCTCACCAGGCTGGTGTGAGGCTTAATGAGAAAGTCCAGGGCAGTGGGTACTGGAGGCAAGTGCTCAGTAACTCAGTGCCACGAACCCTCCTAAGAGCCAGAAGTGGCATCAGCCGCTGGATGTGCGCCCCTACCTGTGGGAGCCAGGCCTAGAGGTGGGGGAGGGGAGGGGGAAGGAGGAGAGGGAGGAGGGGTGGGAGTGAGGGAGGAAGAGTGGTGGGGGATGGGGGGGCGGTGAGTGGGGTGGGGAAGGCCTTCCAACAAAGGAGCAGGCTGCCCTGAGTCCCAGCAGATGGAGGTTGTCTAGGTGCACCCGTGGGCGCAGGGCATCCCAGGCAGAGAGCACAGTGGGAGCCCAGGCCTGCAGTCTTGAAGCCTGTGGGGGGTGGGCATGGCCAGAGTGCAGGGGAGGGGAAGGGCAAGTGTGGTGCTGGAGGAGTCGGCAGGCCAGGCTGAGGGCATGGACTGTGTAGGGGAGACCTTGCAGAGGTGGCTTGGGGCCTACCAGAGACAGACCTTTATCCTCTCACCTATCAGTGCAAGATCAGCATCCAAGGTGGGCAGGTAGCTCTGCTGCTCAGTCAGCGACCCCAGTTCCTGCATTGCGGTGACATTCCTTAAAGCCTGTCGTCACCAGCATGTTTGGGGCAGGGAGCCAAGATGTCACGCTCATAGATATTGGAAGGCCCAGCCCCCACTGGCAGACCGTGGGGCCTTGGCCAGTGCCTCTGTCCTCCCTCCCAGGAGGGCCCAGACTCCGGAGAACTGCCTCAGAAATGGCCTGGAGGGTCCCAGGCCCTGCTTGGTTGAGTCCTAGCTCTGCGATCTGGGACTGTCCTTGACACAGGGCAAGGACATGGGTTGGAGCCAGGCTGGGGGCCTCAGAGGAGGAGGGGCCACTGCCCAGCATCTTGGGCCCTGGGCTGCTCTGGTTTTTGCTGGAGTGGGAGGGAGAGGGTAGGGACAGACCTGAGAGCCATCTCAGTGGGGGTGGGGGAATCTAAGCAGTGCCAGGTCTTAGCAAAATTCCAGCAGAATCACTAAGGCCCTGCTGGTCTTCCTTGTCCCTGCTCCACGCCCCTCACCCCCAACAGGCTTCACATTCCCCTAAAATAAGATCCTAAAAGTTTATTCCTATCCCTCTTGACCTTCCTCTTTGTACACACACGCACACGCTATTTTCACAAAAGTGAGATGATGTTATGTGCTCTATGTGATTATTTCATTTAATCCCAGGTTGTATTAGCTCCAGTTTGTGTTTCAGGAAACAGAGGCTCAGAGAGGTTATGTACTTGTCCTAAGGTCACACAGCTGGTAGGCCTACCTGGCTCCAGAGCCTCACTCTCTGCATCCTGGGCATCACCTGTGGGTACAGAAGGCCGGCCTTGTCCCTGTTGGGGAGCATTTGGGGATGCAGAGCAGGCGGAGCTGGAATTCTGGGCGGAGGCCTGATCTGGCCTTCCCTTCTGCTGTGCTGTGAAACTCAAGCCCTGGGGTCAAATTCTAGCCCCAAGAGTCCTTGCTAAGGTTTTTTAAAAGGGGGTTCTATTGCCACTTAATTGTGGCTCTGCCCTTGAAGCAGGCCCCCAGCTGTCTGTATCAGAGAGCTTGGCCTTGGCTTTCTCTCTCCCAAAGCCCAGGGGATAGAGGCTGCACTGGGAGGTCCGAGACCTTGGCCCCTACCAGCTGGTCCTGCGTCTCTCGCCTTAGCCTTCTCTCGTCTAAAGTTTATTTCAGCCTCAAGGTACGCCCACAACTCCTCCCTGAATCACTGCAGCTTGCTGGAGAGGGGAGAGGAGGAAAAGGTTGAACCAGGGCAGTGAGGAGGGCTCTGGGGCAGGGTTTGGAAGGCAGTGGGTGGAGTTTCACAACAGGTTCTGGAATCCCTAGACCTGGGTTCAGATCCCAGCAGCACAGGACCTACACAGCTGGGCAGGGCTCATGCTCAAGAGATTCCCTATTGGGTTTTATATTCTGCCATCTCAGTCTTGGAATTCCGAATTTTCTGAGCAGGGTGCCCAGAATTTTCACTTGGCACTGGGTCTCACAAATGACACAGCCAGCCCTGTGAACAGCTATTAGCTGTGTGCATTTGACAGGTTACTTTGCCTCATCGATCCTCAGTGTTCTCATCTGCAGAATGGATCAAGGCTCTCACCCCCTTGGAAGACTGTTTTAAGAATTCTTTGAGAGACTCCAGGCAAAGAGCCAGGCAGCAGTAATCCCACATGGGTGCCAGTCTCTGGTAATAATGGTGGTCTTTCTGTAGGGCTCTTTAGGGCCTGATGGGGACAAGGATCTCCAGAACCTGTCTGTCCCCCAGCCTTGTCCATGTGCAAGATATTTCTGGCCAAAAATAAAATTGTCACTGGGAAGCGGACCATTCCACCATCCCCACAACCGCCACCCGCACCCCTGCTGTACCAGGTCAAGGAGTTTAGGGCTCTAAGCTGGCGGGAGATGAGGTACCGGGGGATTTGAGCCTGGGAAGACATGAGGGTCTGCTCGGCTGCTCCACCATCTGCTTTTACCTGGGGAGGGTCAGTCATGCGCCTTTCGTGAATGAAGGCCTGACGCCCAGAGCACTAACAGAAGCTCCCCATGAGCAGCCTCCCTCACCCTATGTCTTGGCTTGTAGGACCCCCGTATCCCAGCAACTCAACTTCCCAGAGTTTCTGGAATCCTGATTCCTGAATTAATATCTCAGCTCAATAGTTTCCCAGCTGTGAGACCTCGGGCAAGTTACTTAACCTCTCTGGTCCTCAGTTTCTCCATCTGTGTGATACTGTGGACGTGTCATGTTAAATTAAACCCCACGTGGAAAATGCTGACAAGTGTGCTGATGAACGTGAGCCCCTGCGGCAGCTGGCCTCCCTGCCTCCCCTCCACTCTGAACCTGACAGGGGACAGCGTGCTCCAAAATGCCAGTCTGATCATGTTACTCCTTCAGCTGTCCGGTGCCTTCAGGATAAAGCCCAGACTACTTGGCCTGGCTTCTCCGAGCCTCCAGGCGGTGAGCACCTGCTCAGTGTCCATTTCCCCTTCTGGAGTCAAAAGCCCCAGGATTCCCTCTGGGAAACCTCCAGCCCTCAGTGCAGATCCTATGATGTGACTGTCAGTCAAGCCAAGGGGCAGGCACGTGACCCAGGCTCAGCCAATTGGGCATGTTCTCCAAGGACCTTGATTCTTGAGGATGGAGAGGATGATGGAAAGGGGTTGGAAGGGTTTGTCTTGGGGGTTATCCCCCTGAGTTCCTGCTGCCTGGATCTCCAGGGCTGCCCTGAGCCCCTGTCCTATCTGAGCCTGGGTTCTTCTTCTTTTTTTTCTGGTGGGTGGTGTTATTTAGGTTTATTTAATTATTTTAATGGAATGAGATCAAACCCGGGACCTCACACATGCTAAGCATGTACTCTACCACTGAGCTATGCCCTCCCCACCAGCCTTTCCTCTGATTCTACGTAATCCCTCATGGCTTTCCACTGATGTCCTCTGCCCAGGGTAGCCCTGTCGGTTTCTGTTGCAGGCAACCAGAGATCCTGGCTGATATACCCTGGTCCCTGTTGGCAGTTTCTCCAGACACATCCCAAACCATTCCCACTCTGACCTTCACCTTCTGCTTTTAAGGATCTGCCTACAGTTCTCCCAGTCCATGCCTGCTACTTTGTGCCTCTGAACCTTCATCCCTGCCGTTCCTTCTGCCAGGAATGCCCTTCCCACCTTACTTCTTCTTGCTCATTCTTGTCCTCAAGAACCACCTCAGACATTGTCACTCTGTAGGGACTTCCTCCCACCCTCCTCCCCACCCCATTCCACCCCCAGGCTCTGACCCTCTGGGCAGACCTACACCCTGGGCTTCTCTCCCTCTGTGCCAGCTTTCTCTTGTCTGAACCCAAAGCCAGAACCTGCCCACCTTCATTTCTTGGTTGGTCTCAACAAATGTTTGATGGGCTCCAGGAGCATAGAGGGGCAGACAGACCTTCTCAGGGACTCCCCGGCCAAGTAGGATCAAATCCATTGCCCACTGATGGCGTCAGGAGGGAAACTGCTAAGTGAGAGATGGGGGAATTGTCCAAGAATAACAGTGAGCCCAGTTCCTCTGGATTAGCCATTGTCCCAGCCTTAGTCAGAGCCCCAGCCCCTGCCCCAGCTCCAGCCACAGACCTGACCTCACACCCCACCATCAGCCTCAACCCTGTTTCCATCCCTGCATAGGCCCCAATCCCTGCCCCTGCCCCTGCCCCAGCACCTGCCGCCACCTCTGCCCTCACTGCAGGTCCTCCCCACGCAGCATCCTTCCCCAACCCCCCTGAGGCTGTGACTTCCCAGGCTGCCCTCTGCAGAGGCCCTGAGAAAGGCCTGGTCAGCTGGTTGGACAGTGAATGGAGCGGGGATATTGGGGTGGGCACCAGGCCCAGCTTCCCCCAGTGGCACAGGCCCAGCAGCTCCAACACCAGGTAACAGGGCCGAGCCACAGGCAGGAGCAGGGGCAGGGCCCAGGGTTAGGTCCCAAAGGCTCCTTCAGTTTCCCCCTCCCCTGCCCTGGGCCAGGCTTTGTCCTGAGCCACGGGCAGGGCTGAGCCCTCCATGGTGGCTGAGTGTCCTAGCTGGGGAAGTGCCCGAGCTATAGCTACCCAAAATCAGATAAAAGGAGGTAAGAGGGGGACTCCCAGGACAAGCCAGTGGGATTTGGGAAACTCACAAAATGGGAACATCAAGAAAGACCCCCACCTTGATCTTTGACCAAGATGACCAGCCTAGAAAGAAAGGCAAAAGTAGCCCACGTCTTCCCTGGGGTCACCAGTGCTTCTCCACCCCTTCTCCTTGGGAACTGAACCAGGGGGCAGGGTGTGGAGGGCCACGGGACTGTGGGGAATCGAGCCCTGCACCCCCAAGTGGATCCTGCAATGGACATGCTGTGAAGATAGGAGCCAGCATTGTGATGTCACAGGCTGGCTGTGACTTTGTGCTCCTGGAGCTGTCGGGTGAGTCAATGGTCCCCTTGCTCCTCCCCGTGCTCAAATCCCCATGCTGGATGCTCAGAGCTGGAAGGGCTGACCGTGCAGCCCTCACTTTCTCTCCCTGCTCCTCTCATGTGCTGGGGCTGGCCCAGCGGATGGCCAATGAACAGCGCTTAGGGAGACTTTCTTCTTTTGGCCACAATGAGCAACCAGGCTTCGGCGAGTGACCCGGGAACTCTTTGCCAGGCTGTGTTGAAACTACCTGTTAACTAGGCCACCTTCCCAGCCTGACCATAAGCTTATTCAAAGTGTCTGTCTTGGCTCCCACTCTGGCCGGATAAGCTCTGTAGAAGCTCAGAGTATATGGTGTCAGTTAAATGCGTAACAGAGTGGAGGGGTGGGTAGGTAGAGGCAGATTGCTAAGTGCCTTCTCCCTGTGAGGGCCACTCTCTGAACCAGCCCCAGCTCTGACCTTAGGACTCTTTCCTGAATGCTCCTGGAAGCCAGCATAGAAGTCCCAGGCATCTTGGCGTCCTTGAGACTTGATGCCACTGCAGAATGGCACATTGATCCCTGCAGAGCTGGGGGCACAGCTCAGAGGTCCCAGATTTTGGATTTAATGAAACCCAAGTCCAAATCCAGTCCCACTGTATGTCCTTGAGCTGGTCACAGGGGCCCCCTCTGAACCTCTGTTTCCTTTTCTATGAAGTTGGAATGTAACCTGACTTCTGAGGACGGTCAGGAGGCTCAGAAGAGAAAGTTGTGGCCTTGACTGTTGCTGCGGCCACTTGTCCTCTTCCTGCCTGGCCCATGTGGCCCTCATCGTCCAGTGCAGCCTAAGGTAGTGAGGGGCAATGCCGGCGGCTGTGGACAGTGGCCAGAGGGCTGGCCCAAGCAATACCAGTGACAAGGACAGGGACCTGCAGGTGCTGCTCCAGGAACTCTGCCAGCTCCAGGCAAAGTATGAGTTGTCCTGGGCCCCACTGTGCCTTCTGCCTCAGCCCCAGTGCCACTGCGGTGGGCTAAGTGGCTGGGACTGAGCAAAACTGCCTGAAGAGACTGGGCCAGGAAATAGACATGGAGGGGAGTGATGCCTGGGGGTAAATCAGGAGGGGCAGCTGATCTGCGAGTGGTGAGGAGGACGGGGCCTTAGCTCCCACCCTTTGACCTCAGACCTCGGGCCAGTCTCAGGCCCTGCACAAGCTTAGTCTCCTATCACGAAGGCAGGGCTGTGGGTGGCCCTCCCTGCACCTGTCAGCTCAGCCTCTCCAAAATTAACCTGCAGGGTTGCCACCCTGGTTCCGAGTGGAAACTCTGGGTCCTTGTCCTCCGGGAAGGCCTTCAATTTCAGGCTGCCCGCAAAAGCCTGAATTAGATGCAAAAAGATGTGCCTGTGAGCAATTTTATGGAGAAAACTTCCAACCCTTCCATCAGATTCACACAGGGCTCCCCAATCCCAGTAAGGTTTAGCACTGTGGTGTTTGCCGGGAAGACATTTCCCCCTGCTTTTTCAGGACTGCATGGATGGGGAAATGGGGCCTGAGATGCAGAGTGTCTTGCCCTGGGACACTCAGCAGTCACTCAGATACCCACCACAGCCCTATCCCACTCTGCCCTTTGCCCTTGACTGTTGACCTTGAATGGGCCCAGGGCGGGCAGCCTATTAGAGACTCATCTTGCTTAGTGATGCCACTTGACAGTCAAGCATGGCTGGGCTGCAGCGCGTGGCCGTCCCCCTCTGGGAGCTGCTGTGGCCCCCACCTCAGACTGAGTGCTCATGATGTACAGGGCGCCCCAGGCCCAGTCCCTGCCAGCCTTGAAGAAGGGGCTGGTTACCCCCGTCACAGATGGGCCACCCAGGCACAGAGAGGTGAAGCGCCTGGCCGGGTCACCAGCTGCTGGGAGCTTAGGCCTTCTACCACCTGCTCAGCCTCCAGGAGAAGCTCTGTAGACCCCACACTAGAAAAACCTGGCCTTGCCCTCCCAGGGGCCCCTTCCTCGTGGCCTGACTACAGGCATCAGTCTGACCTGTCTGTGGCTCAGTTTACTGAGCAGTAGAATGGGGTGGAGACTCAAGTCAGTGGCCCACTGATGGGTCCAGTCTGTGCAGATTCACAGAGGGTGGTCCCCACAAGGGGTCACGACCCGGGAGCCTCCAAACCACGTTCTCATGCCTGGCTTTCGCCGGCACCGAAATGTCTCTACAGGCAAAGGAGGCTGAAGAGGGAGGTGGAGAAGCACAAGCGTTTTGAAGATTATCTGATCAAGGTCCTTGAGAAAATCCCCAAGGGTACGTATGTAGCTTCCTCAGAAGGTCTGTCCTCCCAGCCTCGGCCCAGGGGCACGTGTGACCTTACTGAGCCTGGAGCTCGCCTGCAGGGTGGGTGGCGGAGCCGGCCTTGCACCAGTGGCCAGGCCTGCGGCAAGTTCTCAGCACCTCGGTTTCCTTCTCTGCACAGTGGGAACAGCAACAGTCCTGGGGACAGGATGAACTCAGCTCGTGAGCAAGCAGCTCGGCGCCGACTGGCTCCCAGTAAATGCCGGCTGTTACTGATTCCTCGTGTGTCTTCAGTTTTGCTGTTAGGAACTAAAATTACACAGACATCTGAAATGGGTTTTTGTGTTTTATCATAACTGGTACCAGAATCCATTGTTATCAGTGCTGAAAACTTGAGAGGAAAGGGAAGGGGAAACAAACATGTGTTTTTATTTTTGTTATCATTATTATTATCTCAGCATCATCAATAATAAAAATAACTATTGCTGTTGATGAAATATTTACTCTGTGCTAGGCTCTTTAGTAAATCTTTCTTACCTCTCCTTATGAGCTTCTGACAAGTGTGTTATCCAGGCTCAGAGACATTAAGGGACTTGCCCAAGGTTGCCCCGCCGGGAAGTGGTGGGGCTGGGTCTCAGACTCTGGTCTATCTGATTTCATAGCCACGGTGCTAAGTGCTCTGGAGCTGCAGGAGCCCCAGTGACTTTGCCCTGGAGATCAGGGAAGACTTCATGGAGGAGGTGGCCTCTCAGGTGGCCCAAATGAGTTCAGCAAAAGGGAACAGCATTGCAGACAGAGAGAAAAGCACAAATGTAGGCTGGAGCCATGGCCCTGCGTGGTGGGTTTGGGAATGGTGAGTTCCAGCGTGCTGGGGCGACAGAATCCGGCAGAGGATGCTGGGAGGTGAGATTGGAAGGTTGAGTAGCACCAAAGAGCCTTGATCACCAAGCCAAGGAAGGGGGTAGGGCTCCGGGTCACACACAGGGCTTGAAACAGACCCAGCACCCAAGGCTGCTTCTAGCAGCCTCCTAGTTTGGGGCCTTCCTAGTCCAGCGATTCCACCCTGTTCAACCCATCCAAAATGAATACCCACCCAAACTGGGGACCTCCTCACTCAGTTCAGCAGTGACCCCTGTCCTCTTCCTGCAGGCTCCCCCTAACAGCAGTTTCTCTTGGGCGGCAGTCTCCTGCCTCACTGGGCAGCCTAGATCCAGAATCCCCCTTCTCAGCCCTGAGGTGGCCTTTCAAATGTTGATGCTTCTTTTGAAGAGATGGGTGTTGGGCGATGGGGCCAGGCATCTGCTGGATCAGTTCTGCTGTCTTGGAGTGAGCCTTGTATGGATTACCTGCACCTCTCAACTTCAGGGTCCTGGAGCAACAGCAGAAGCCCCACCCGCCTTATTAGCATCACCGCAAGGGGCAGGTGAGGGCGGGGCATCCTGTGCCCGCCAATCCTGCCTCGGTGCTGTCCCCATAGGCCACAACCAAGGGGAGGAGCCAGAGGAGGCCCTGGTGGAGGCCATGGTGGAGCACTACGGGAGGCTCTTCACAGTCAGCCAGGACATCCAGAAGCATGTGGAGGCCTTCTCCAGGATGAGCCAGGCAGTCCACCAGAGCCTGGCGTCTCTAGAGGAGGGCCACAGGGCTCTTATCCCGGTAACAGCTGCCTGAAACCTGGCCCCTTCCCCTGGACCCAGGGAATCCCTTCCTCTGCACCCCGGGGGGGGGGGGAGGGGAAGCAGGGGTGGGCTGCGGGGGGAGGAGCTGTCACTCCAGATCCTTGTTGTGTACCCCTTTCCCTCCCCTTCTGCTGGCTGACTCGGGGTTTCTCCTGAGGGAGGCTCAACTTATGCTTAAGAGGTGTTCCTGGCAGAAAAGCCAGGAGATCTGGATTCCGACAGACTGGGGTTCAAATTCCGGCTCAGCTTCTGACTAGCTGACTGACCCTGGGCAAGTCTGTACCTTTCCTGAGCCTCTGTTTCTTCCTCTGTCAAGCGAGGGCAACGCAGCCTAGCTAGTAGGTGGTTGTGACTAAGTGCCCCAAGAAGTTATCCTATTTGGTTCATCCTGTAATAAGCTGAATATTCGCCAGGAGGGATGGGCATTCTATGCAGAAGAAACTGCCTTGGCAAAGTCATGGCAGGATGAGTTTTTGTGCTGCAGCTGAGACCTGGGGACACGGAGGGGACGGGGACATAAGAGGAAGGGGACTTGGAGAGGAAGGCTGACAGGTGCGTTGGTTCTTGCAAAGGACCATGGCATGGTGTTTGCAGCGAGTCTCTGCCCTCTAGTGGCACCACTGAAATTCTACACCATTTTGTGCCTTTTTTCCTTCATGGGCCGAGGGCCGGTGAGAAGCACTTAATAAGCTTGATCTCATTTAAATCTCACCCCAGCACCTGGAGGCAGGTGCTTCTATTCCTAGGGCTGAGACTAGAGGAGGTGAGTGAGGTGAGCGTGCAAAGTGCAAGGTTGGATCCCAACTGCGTTTGAATTTTTTATATTTTGTTCATCATGGATTTTTTTTGCCTTAACGTTGATTTTTTTAAACATTGCATTAAAATATTATTTCTATTAATTCTGAGTTAAACGTTAGTCCCAGACATGCTACTCCTCTCATTTTCTAAGTAAGGGAACTAGGGCTTAGAGACGGGAGGACATGTGCGTATCCTGTGTCCTCCAAACACAGCCCATGGGGCCTGGCGGGGAGTGAGCCCCTCAGGCCTGGGCCGCAGCTCTTCACAGCCTTGCTCCCCCCAGGTCCTCCCAACAGACCCTGTGGCTGAAAGGGCCCAGACTGGTGGCTCTGGTTATGGTGAGGAAAATGGGGCTCTGGGGATGAGCTGGGATTCAAACCCAGTCGGCTTGGACATGCCCTTTCCTGCATCCCTGGTGCTTTGGATGCCCCTGACCACCTGGAACTTTCCCCTCCTCCACCTGCATCATTGCTCAGACCGCCCTGAGCGGTGAGCTCGTTGGGACCGGGACCAGTCCCAGGGCAGACGGAGCGGGAGGATTGGCTGCACCGAGGTGACCCAACCCCTCTTGCCACAGAGCCTCAAGATCCGGCTGTGCCAGCTGCAGAGGAGGTGTCATCGCAAACAGGAGCAGTGGCAGCTGCTGGAACGTGGTGTCACCTACCAGAAGGACACAGGCAGCTGTAATGTGAGTCCAGTCTGCTGGCTGGGGCGGGGCGAGGGCTGGGGGCTGCCATCTCCTCAATGATCATCGGCCCCCGGCAAACACACACACACACACACACACACACACCACTTACCCCTCCCTGCTGGCTGCTAGCGTTCAAAGGGCTTCTCTCAAATGAGGCAGATGCTGTTACTTCACAGGTGGGAGAACTGAGGCCACTGATAGTTAAGGACTGAGCTCTACCAAGAACCAGCTGGGATCCCCAGTCCAGTCCCAGGGCCTAGCACGTGCACTTGTAAATACTGGTTGATTCTTATTCATACCTATTTCACAGATGAGAAGAGTGATGCTTAGAAGGAACAAGTCAGGGCTGAAGTCAGGGGCCAGGATTGCTGGGCTTAATCCATTGAGCTGCTTCTTACTGGCCTTAGGATTGTGGACCAGTTACTCTTCAGACCCCCGGGTCCTTCCCATACCACAGCCTGGGCTCCTTCGGCCCCAGGGGCTGCTGGGAGGACACGGGGGAGCGAGGCCTGGCACACAAGGCTGCGCCTTTCACATGGGCAGGGTGCAGTCAGCGAATGTGGGACCTTCTCAGGCTCCGTGGGCTCCTAGTTTGAAAGTCATGAGGGTTGGGGTCTGTGGGCTGCTGAAGGTTGAGGGAGGGAGCTGGATTGGCCACAGTTTATAGAGCCCTTTCTTGGTCTTTCTCTTTAAGGTGGAAAGCAAGGCTGCTGCAGCTGATCACAGCCCTGAGGGCCTGCAGTCGAGCCGGCCCTCCTCCACGCCCTCTTCTGGCCCCTTCCCTGGGTGTAGACCACAGATGTCCGCAGCCGGGAGGACCCTCTGGAAAGTTAGTCGGTCCAGTGTCCTCCTTTGCAGGGAAGGATGCTCTGGCCCCGAGGAGGGTGGGGACTCATCCAAGCCCCTTTGGGTGTGGAGCACAGACCAGGATGAGAAGGGGGATCCTGGCTCCAGGAGGCTGCTCTGGCCTGAGGGAGCTGGGGACAGGGGGTGGGGGATTCTGGGAGAGGGCCTGAGCCTTCTCCTCCTGCAGAACCAGCTGCTCAACCACATGCAAGTGGCCATCAACCACATGGCCCAGCAGTGCTGCTCCCCTGCCCGCGGCGTGCCCAAGAGCATGGGCCTCTTCTCCCAGCTCGACCTGATCCAGGTGAGGGCTTCCGCTGCCCCAGGCTGACCTCCCGCCTGAACCTGTCCTGCTTAGCTGTCCTGTCAGCCCCTCCCTCCGCAGCTGCCTGGCCCTGCGTGGGTGCAGTTGGGTGTCAGGGTCTCTTTTAGCTTCTGGACAAACTTGTAATGAGCATCAATTGGGTGCAGGGTCAGAGGGCTGTAAAGAAACTCACTCCTGCCCTGCCTGGTCTTAATGTGTAGCCCCATCCCGGCACATCACACATACACATTCACACACACACACACACACACACACACACACACGGGGTGTACACTCACGTGGGCTCTCTGCATACCCTACGTGAAACATACACTGACACACTTGCAAACACACCAAGATGCACACAGATGTGTTTCCACGTTTACACCAGAAGGGGCATTTCAGGGACTGAGGGAGCCTCTATGCGGGGTCCTCATTTTTAACTTCAGACTCTCATCAAGTCCACTGAGCTTCCCCTTCTCACTGGGGAGGTCCCCACCAGGACCAAACCCCTAGCAGTCATAATTCTGGTGCTGCAGGAATGCAAGACATGGGATCAGATCAGCTTCCACCGACAGCATCTCTGGTTTATCTGTAATATTCGCTTTACTGAGACAAAATTCACATACCCTAACACGTACCCTTTTAAAGTGCACACTTCAGCGTTTTCGGTACAGTCAGAATTGCACAACCATCATTAGTGACTAACCCCTGAATCTTTTCATCACCTCCCCAGAATACATTCTATATCTGGCCTCTTTCACTTTGCATAATGTCTTCCAGTTTCACTCACATGGTAGCATGACTCATACGTCCTTCCTTCTTATGACTGAATAATATTCCATTGTATGGATGGACCACATTTTGTTTATCCATTCATCAACTGATGGACATTTGGGTTGTTTTCCTTTTGAGGCTAGCTGAATAATGCCACTATGAACAGTTGTGCCCATGTCTTTGTGTGAACATATCTTTTCAGTTATCCTGGGTACATACTTCAGAGTGGCATTTCTGACTCATGCGATAACTCTATGTTTAACATTTTGAGGAACTGCCAAACTGTTTTCCAAAGTGGCTGCGTAATTTTACAATCCTATGGTCAAAGTATGAGGGTTCCAATTTCTCCACATCCTTGTCAACACTTGGTATTGTCTGTCATTTGTAATCTAGTCATCCTAGTGGGTGTGAAGTGGTCTCTCATTGTGATTTGCATTTCCCTGGTGATCCTTTCTTGTATTTATTGGCCATTTGTGTATCTTCATTGGAGATATGTCTATTCAGACCCTTTGCCCAATTTTTAATTGGATTGTTTGTCTCTTTATTGTAAAGTTCTAAATATCCTTTATATATTCTGGATACAAGTTTCTTATCAAATAAGTGATTTGAAAATATTTTCTCTCACTCTGTAGGTTGTCTTTTCACTTTGATGGTGTCTTTTTAAAACACAAAGATTTCAATTTTGATGAAACCTAATTTATAAATTTTTATTTTGGTTACTTGAGCTTTAGACATCATATCCAAGAAATTATTGCTTAATCCAGGATCATGAAGATTTACACCTAAGTCTTCTTAGGAAGTCTATAGTTTTTGTTCCAGTATTTCATTTTATAATCCATTTTAGTTTATGTATATGGTATAATACAGGGGGTCCAAATTCATTTTTGCATGAAGATACTCAGTTGTCCTGGTACCATTTGCTGAAAAAACTACTCTTTCCTCATTGAATTATCTCCTCATCATTGTCAAAAATCAACTGACTGTATATATGAAGGTTTATTTCTGGACTCGCAATACCGCACTATCTTGATTATTGCAGGTTTGTAGTAAGTTCTGTCATTGGAAAGTGAGTCTCCCAGCCTTGGTCTTCCTTTCTGAGGTTGTTTGACTGTTGTAACAGCATGTCTGGCATCGTGAGTGGAAGTTCAGTGCCCGGGTGGCTTTCAGGCCCGGCATGACCCAAGGCTCAGTAGCACCACGAGGACCCATCATTTCTACCCGCTCCTGTCTGCCGTCTTCAGCGTTGGCTCCATACTAAATTATAACTTGCTTCCTCATTGGAGGCAGGTTCAGTGGAGTTGTTCAAACTCAGGATTCTTAGCGCCTCTGGGACACCGCGGGGCAAGTCCCCAGTCCAGTGTTGTCCAGCAGAGACCGTCAGCCATGAGCAAGGCTGCATCTTATCCGAGAAGAACTTCTCACGAGAATCTCACAGGCAGTGTCAGGGGCACCCTCCTCCAGGGCTCGGCTCCGGGGGCCCCATTCACACTGAGCGCTGTGTAGTCGGCATCCCCTGGGGCATAACTCCTTCATGTTGTGATACGAGTGATGAACGTATGAGTTTGAGCTTATTTGTCTAAATAGTGCATTCATTTCATCTTCTTCCCAAGAAAAAGAAAGAAATTACCCAGTGATGTCAGGGGGTCCCAAAGATCTCCCTCAACAATCACTCCGTCAAGACTTGGAGTCGCCCTCACGGCTCAGCGTTGTGCCAGGGAAAGAGTTGGAGGTGGGGGCAGGTAAAGGTCACCTGGCCCATAAGAAATGAATGCCCCTCAGAGAGGGAGCCTGGGGCAGACAGGGTGGGCTTCTTGGAAGAAGCAGTGAGAAGAGGCAGGCAACCACATTCAGAAAGCCACACAAGGACTGGACTCTGAATCATCCAGCTCTGCCACTGCTGGGCTGTGTTGCTTCAGGCAAGTCACCTAACCTCTCTGAGCCTGTTTGCTCATTTGCCAATTGGCATTGATACAACATTCTTCACAGGGCCCTTGTGAAAGCTAAAGGAGATGCAGGCCAACTTTCGATGGTGCTCTGGTCCCTAGGAAGTGGCGTTCAGGGGCCAGAGCACAGGCAGGTGAGAGAGATTTCTTTTTCCTCCCAGGAATTTATGTTGGACAAAATGGAGACTGTGAAGTTTATCTCACTGCTCAAGGGACCCAGAGTGTGCTGGTCAGGGGACAATCCCAAGGACCAGGGCCTCAGAAGTTACCCCAGACCCTTCAGGAAATATTCAAAGAGTCCAGATTCGATCCCCAAAACCCCCTTTCCCAGAACCCAGATTTCAGAACGCTCCGGCCTGTACTGACACAGCCCGCGGCCACACAACCCTGCCAGCATCACGACCATCTCCTTACCTGCGTGGCCCCCTTTATTCACCGCCAGCGCTCCGAAGTGGGTAGGAGCCAGCCTGTGGGCAGAGAGAGGGCGGCCAGGATCCTGGGGCCAGCTGGGATTGAGGGGATGCTGTTTCCCGCGTTGGGGGATTGGCAGGGGTCAAGGTGAGGTCTGTCTGGGACTGTAGGGGAAAGAGAGAGGGAGGTTCCTGAGACAGCAGCCGGGTGGGAAGTCCAAGGGGGAAGACCTGCACCCAGAAGCCGGGGCTGCAATTCTCACTGTCCCCAGTGGGTTTGTCTGAGACCAAGGAGCTTTGGATAAATGCCCGTCTATTGGGAATGCCCGAGTCACAGGAACTCTCACAAAGAGCCACCTGGAGCCATGGGAGGCATGGAGCTGGCCTTGCCCACACTAGACGGGGGGCGCTCAGTTTGTAGAGGGGCATCTCACCACTGGCTCCCAGAAGCTGAATACCAGTCAGCGCCTTCTGCCCACCTGAGGGTCCCAGAGCTGTCTGGAGTGAGGGCTACTGTCAGGGGGAGTCGGGTAAGGCAAAGCCCCTCTCTGGGCTGGTTTTCCCACCTGTGAACTTGGGTGCAAGGATGTATGAGGGAGTCCCCTGTCCAGTCTGACACTGGAAATGTCTGCGTGGACGGACGGCACTGGCCTGGTGTTACTGAGACACTGGGGTAAGAATCATCCCAGCAACCCCCGCAGGCTCAGAAGGATTCACCTCTGGGAGTCTGCTGACGTTAACTGATTCAGGGACAAGTTGAAAGTTCAGAGCAGCTGGCTTTCAGGGCAACTGGTTTGTGGCGACTAGTGGCAAGTCAGCAAATGAACTTTCAAAGAGAAGTTTCAGAAAGGATGCTGCTGTTCCTTCAACGGACACTGAAGGTCTGCCGTGTTCCAGGTGCCGCTGGGAGAGGGGATAGGAGGTTCGGAGGGAAGGAGGGTGGGGGATTGAATAGCACTTGGCCACTGACTTCATTAGGGAAGCCAAATATGTTAAAGAAGGTTAGATGGGGTCAGGTCTTAACAGCAGTTTAAAGAAAGTGGGATCTGAGAAGCATCATTTCTAGTTTCCAATTTCTAAGGTCTTTGGAGCAAAGAGGGTGCTTTGGAACCCAGGTAGGGCTTGAGTCGCATTTCAGAAAGGAGAGGTTGGGGGAGGGCTAGAGAAAGTGAGGGAAACACCGGGGAGGGCTTCCAGCTTGGCTGGAGCACAAAGAACCTGATGGGCAAGTCTGAGAAGGTGTGCTGGGGAGCCATCGGGGGTCCCCAAGGCCAGGCTCGGAAGTTTGGACTTTGGTCTAGGGGCCACACACAGGGGAGGCTTAGTCCATTCTGGCTGCTGTAACAAAATACCATACACCGGGTGGCTTAGCAACAGCTCTTTATTTCTCATCGTTCTGGAGGCTGAAGTCCAAGACCAAGGCACCAGCAGGTGTCTGGTGAGAGCCCGCCTCCTGGCTCACACGGTGGAAGGGCTGAGGAAGCCCTCTAGGGTCTCTTTTATAGGGACGCTAATCCCATTCGTGAGGGCTCTGCCCTCATGACCTAATCACCTCTAAGAGGCTCCCCCACCTCTTAACAGCGTCACACTGCGGGTTAGGATTTCAACATGTGAATCTGGGGGGGACAGAACATTCAGTTCAGACCACAGTCATTCTTTATTTGCATTCTCTCCCCACAATATCCGTTTTACAAAGAGATCTGAAGTATCTCATTAATCTCCTTGGAGTGTGGGGGCACACGTTAGGCCAAGGATTCTTAGATCTGAACATTCCTCGGAAAGCTTGTTACAACAGAGTGAGGGCCCACCCTTATCTGATCCAGCAGCCCTCAGGGGGCCAGGCTTTAGAATCTGCATTTCCAACAAGTTCCCAGGTGATGCTGATGCTTCTAGTCCCACGGCCCCACTTTGAGAACTGCTGCTTTGGAGTCATGGCAAATTCCCTAATGCCTGAGCTGGGCTCTGTTCCACCTGGAGCACCGACTCCCCCTGCCTGGACTCCAGGCCCCCATCAGCACTGTGGGCACCTGACATTCTGGGAGGGCTGCCTGCACCCCATCTGACCTGCTGAAGGTGCTGGACATAACACCTCCTTAGGGGCCCAGAGCACCGTTCTCTGGCTTTGTGGCTTTGCCCACTAGGGGTCTGTGAAGAGCTGTTGTCATTCTGTCCCCTGCCATCTGCCTGTTGTGCATTTGTAGGTCTAGTTCAGATGTTTGATCCCCCTCCTTGGGGAGGAGGAATATCAGAACAGATGCCTGGTGTGGCAGTGACCTGGCCATTAATCTAAGTTTGCAGTGAGCTTCCTAGTCTTTTAGGAGCTCCCAGTCTCCCTTGGGTGGGGCTTGGGTCATAAAATTGGCAAATGGGCACTGCGCTCAGGGGCGCCGCCCTCTCCAGCCGCTGGCATGTGCTGAACACTGGGGGTCATCCTTGCTGGGCTTTTTTGTCACACAGCTCTCTCAGCCCTGCCCCTACGCCTTTAAAGCACTCCCATCCTGGGTTCCATATGAGCTGGAGAAAGGCCTTTGAGTGTATGCGGAGGGGAAAAGCTGGAAATACCATTTCATCTGACTGCTCATCCAGACCCTGAGACCCCAAGACACCAGGAGGCCTAGGGCTTGGACACTTTCTGAGACTGAGAGCTCATTACCTGACATCTAATTCCAGCTTTAATTTTCTTCAAGTGTGAGAAAAGCCTTCCTACACACCATTTGGGAAGAGCTGGGTTATTAGCTAATGGCTGGTGCTGAGAAAATTGCCTATCTGGCAGGAAGATCAAATTATGTCCTTTTCCCACACCGTATTCTGTGGTATATTCCAGTTCCTTTGAGTGGTGGTTTCCCAACTTCAATGTTTATTAAAATCGCCTGTGACACTTGCTAAACAGGGCTTATTCTCAAAAATTCTGATTCTGGCATGAGCCCCCCAACCCCAGTCTGGATTTTTAACAAGCATTCCAGATGGCTCCAATGCAGCTTAGTCTCTGATTGCAGCGTGTGAAACACTGGGTTTCCCAGTGTCAAAGAGAAGAAAACCTGCTCCACATTTACTTGGTCTTGAATCAGGAAGAACTTTAGAAGCATGGACGCAATAGTGCCTCTACCTCAGAGCACAGCAAAATATCTACAGACAATAAATGGAGAGAAATGATGAGAAATTTGAAAACGAGTCAATGTTTTTGATATTCGAAAAACTCTTATGAAGTAAAAAAAATTGATATCAATTGTTCATTTCAGCAAATCACAAAATAAAAATGGCCTATAAACATGAAAACTATTTTGCCTCACTAAAAATTTACATCATGTAATTTCTGCCCATCAGAAAATTTTTAGCAAAGACACTAATGCGTGTAAGACAGGCCCTTCAACACTGAAACGTTTGCATAAACTCTCTGGAAAGCAATTTGATAAGAAGGAGGTCTCAAGAGGCTCAAATTTTTTTATGTCTTTTGGCTCAGTGATTCTTAGATCAAGAAATTTATGTTAATAAAACCAGAGCTATTTGGTTCAAAATGACAGAAAGCCCAACTTGGCTTAAACTCAACTTGGCTTAAGTCCAAAAGAATGAATTAGCATATAAAACAGAAAGACCAGGGATTCCAGAGCTTCAGGAACAGCTTGATCCCGAGTTCAATGTCAACAGAATCCAGAAATGTGTGGGTGTTTTTCTGTGCTCCTACATCTTGGCTTCAGTGTAAATAGGATGGCTGCCTACAAGCACAGTCCTGCATCCTTTAAAG